GGAGATTTGATAACAAGACACCTCAACAATTTCTCTGTCAAACTGAAGCTAGATGACCAATGGTAGTACCAAACTCCAAACCAAACCCATTGACACTAAGTCAATTCCAACTCACAGAGACCCTTTAGAGGGTTTCGGACACCATAACTCTTTCTCCTTTGGAGGAGCTGGTAGGTTTGAACTGCTGATCTTGTACTTAGCAGCCTAATGCCTATCCTATAGCACTACCAGGGCTCCCACCACAATCAAGTTGATTCCAACTCACAGTGGGCAGACTAGAACAGCACCTTAGGGTTTCCATGACTGTACATGTTTAGGAGAGCTGACAGACTCATCTTGCCCCCGCAGAGTGGCTGGTGGGTTAAAGTTCAGTCCCAATATTTAGCCCACTGTCCCACTAGGACTCCTTTAATGTCAGTATAATGAAGGAGGGGATGGGGAGAAGATTCCATTAAGTATTACTAAAAAGTGTCATGTATAACAGTAGTATGAGAAGGCAGCAATAATAGACAGTGCAAATACTCATGTAGCTAGCAAGAGCTCTAATGGTGTATCAGGTTAAGTGCTCGGTTGCTAACTGAAACACTGGCTGTTCAAACCCACCCAGCTGTTCACAGGAAACAGACCTGTAAATTTGATTCCATAAAGATTATCCATTGCCCTGGAGTCTTTATGGCTCATAGTGAACTGATAACAGATACGAAATGTCCCATAGGGTTTCCAAAGCTGCAATCTTTACAGAAGTAAATCGTCACATCTTTCTACGGAGTGGCTTGTGGCTTCAAACTATGGACCTTTCAGTAAGCATGCTGAATGATTAACCATTATGTCATGTAAATATTACAGTCAAGAAAATCCTGTAAGGCAGTTCTATTTAGTGACATGGGGTTACCATGAGCAGAAATCAATTCAAATGCACCAGTAACAGCAAGAGCAATAAGGTTCATCCAAGAAAACGAAAATTTTCACACATTCAGCAAATATGTACAGTACATATTTACATAGTAAATATGTAAAGTATACTTCCATGGAAATTACACTCTAGTGTGGAGAGGAAACAAACAAATACATGTATCAAGTAATGATTAGAAGTATAATGATTAAGAAACATAGTAAGCAAAACAAAAAATAAAGTAGGTTCATAGGGACAGGGACTGTGATGTGTATAGAGGGGCTGTTATTTTGATTAGATTCTCTGAAAAGGTAACGTTTGAGCAGCCATCTGAAAGAAAAGGTGTGAACTAATGAATGTATCCATGAAGGCAAGATCCCTGTCCTGAGGTTTCTGACCTTTATCCTTTTTTTGTAAGGCAGTATTATAAGGAGCTCTGGTAGTGTAGTGGTTATGAATCAGGCTGCGAACCTCAGGGACAGCAGTTTGAAACTACCAGTTGTTCCACAGGAGAAAGATGAGGCTTTCTACTCCCGTAAAGACTTATATCCTCGGAAACCCTGTACAGGGTCCCTATGAGTTGGAACCAACTCCACAGCATATAACAACATTACAGAGTGGTTAAGAACCAAGGTTCTAGATGAAGACTAGCTACATTTGAGACTTGTTCTGTCACTTCCTTGTTGTGTAACCTTCAGCATTAACCTCTCTGTGCTCTCTACAAGGGGGTTTCAAAAAGTTTGTGGAAACTGAATTAAAAGACAATAGAATTTTCCATGAATTTTTGAAGCCCCCTCATATTTCTTCATCTGTAAAATGGGGATTAAACGCAGAAAGAGTTACCACATAGATAAATACACACAATCATGACTTTTATGTTACTGTTACTTTTATTAACAACAACAACATTAAATTAAGAACAAGGATTTTACCCACTGGTGAGTCTGAGTAAGTTAGAACCCTGCTCTAGGTGGGTATGTTTATTCACTCATTCAACAAGTAAACACTCACAAGAACAAGCCCCTAGAAGAGTTCTTACAGCAGTATATACTTGTTAGATGATACCCCATAGAGTCCTGGCGTGGTGCTTAGGAAAAGCAAGGTAGGTTTGAACTGCAAGGTTGGCAGTTTAAACCCACCAGCCACTCCTTGGAAACCCTGTATAGGGTGGTTATGAATCAGAACTGACTTGACAGTACTTAAGAACAACAACAGGGATACCCCACGTAATGAGAGAGGTAAAGCTGTTGCTCTCAAGGAGCTTAAATTCTAGTGGGAAGAACAGCTGTACAAGATATAAACAAGGTGACAACAGTGTGTACATGACAGGAGAGGGGTACTTTACATAGGATGGTTAGAAAAGGTTATTCCTTGCACCTAACACCCGAGAAAGCCACAGATGAGCAAGGGGACAATGAGTCTAGGCAGAAGAAAGAGTAGGCAAAAGACACTAAGGTAGAAATTAGCTTAGAATATTCAAAAAACAGAAAAAAAGAAGCTATTAGGCTTCAAGAATAACAAGCAAAGAGCGATATGAAAAAAGGTCAGGAGGGGATTGGAACCATGGCAGTGAGATGATATATGATGGAATGAATGTAAAACTAAAGTTCTCCCATGTAAACTATCATATAATTCACAATAAAACATTTTAAAAAAAGAAAAAAGGTCAGGGAGGTAAGTCAGGCATTATGCATTATGGAACTGGGTACAAATGCACAAACAAAAACTGAATCCGAACGTGTCCTGGTGGAACTTCTAATAGAGTAAAGGAGCCAGACATTAACCAGTCACAGAAACAAACGTAAACCTGCAACCATGACAGCTTCCACTACAGAATTTCATAAAACATGCTCTCCTTACCTTCAAAAAAACCCACCTCACTACTATCTAGTTGGTTCCGACTCACAGTGACCCTGTATAGGGCTTCTGAAGAGTGGCTGGTGGGTTTGAACTTCAACATTGTAGTTAGCAGCACAATGCTTACCTTCTGGCAACACTCCAGGACTCCTGGTGACCCTATATGTTAAGTCACCATCAAGTTGGTTCTGACTCATAGTAACCCAGTATATATATGCCATCAAGTTGGTTCTGACTCATAGTAACCCAGTATAGGTTTCCAAGGAGCAGTAGGTGGGTTTGAACTGATCTTGTTGTTAGCAGTCGAATGCTTATCCTACAGCACCACACCAGAACTCGAGTGAACCTATTGTTGTTAAGTGCCATCGAGTTGAATCTGAGTCATAGCAACCCTGTGTGGAGTTTCGGAGGAGCGGCTAGTGGGTTTGAATTGCTAACCCTGAGACTCAAACTGATCTTGCAGTCTAGCACATTATCTTGCAATAACACACTAGGACTCCAGTAACCCTATAGAACAGAGTAAAAGTGTTTCCTAGGGTTTCTGAAACTATAAATCTTTACGGAGCAGACAGCCTCATCTTTCTCCCTCAGAGCGGCTGGTAGTTTCAGAAATTCTATATATGGAGTCCTGGTGATGTAGTGGTTTATTCACTGGGCTGAAGTTCCAAGACACCATCTCCGCAGGAGAAGCTTTCTACTTTCTCAAAAGATTCACAGCCTCAGAAATCCTACAAAGGGTCACTAGTGGAATCAACTTGAGTGCATTGGATTTGGTTTGTTTTTTTGGTATGAGTTGGAATCAACTTGATGGCAGGGAGTTTGAGGTATCTAAGTTGTTGTTAAGCATTGTCGAGTCTGTTTTGACTCAAGCTATCTTATATACAGTTTCCAACGAGTGGCTGATGGGTTTGAATTGTTAACTTTTAGATTAGCAGTCTAGTGCTTATCCTACAGCAACACACCAGGACTCCTGAGATATCCAAGCAGAATGTGAAATAGGTAATAGGAAAGCTCTGCGCTGAAGATACCATTTCTTCAAGTAGAAAATCAAACTCTTAAAAGAGTACTTATCTCAACTGTAATGAGGATTAAATAAGCAAATAGATATAAAATGTTTTACGTAGTGTCTGACACATAGTAAGTACTCAATAAATAGTGCAGTTTTATTAATAATGTTATATTGGTTCTTAGTTAACATATTAGCTAGTCCCTTTACCTAAACTTGGTAAAGAAACATGTTATTTTCAGTATGAAATTCCTTTTCCTTTCTCAAGACCTTTCCCAATTTAATAATGTCTCTCCATATAAATAGAATACGGAGTTCTGGTGTGGCGCTGTAAGATAAGCACTGGACTGCTAATCAAAAGGTCAGAGGTTCAAATCCACCAGCCATGCTTTGGAAACCCTATGCAAGGTCGCTATGAGTCAGAACTGACTCCACAGTATTTAACACAATAGCAAATATAAAAGAAATATATGCATACTTGATTGTGGCATTGTATGACAAATCAAGTAAGGCAATTCCTGCTTTCAACAACATAGACACTATGTACCAGAGATGTCACAAAGTAATAAAAATAATGATGTCATACAGTTTGACGGTGGAGCTGCAATTTGAACTCTTGTTGTTGTTATGTGCTGTGGAGTCGGTTCCGACTCA